TTCTTGTTACAAACAGACTTTAAAGAGAGCCACATGGGCTGAGGCATCTGCGATGGTGTTTGTATTATAGCCAATGGAAGAGAAGATTCTTTTAAGAGCTCCAGACTTCTTTTGACTGAGAGTTTGTCTCCTTTAATTTCTCCAATTGTAATTTCATATCTATTCCAAGGCCAGTTAGAAGTGTGTGAAACCTTTCCTTTGATTCTTGTCCAGGTCTTTAAATAGGGTTTCTATTCTGAAGGCCAGGCTTTTGTGCTTGTATTGCCAGAGTTCAATGCCTGTATAGGAGAAAGGCCTCATTAGTATAATTTTCAAAATTTGTTATCTGTAAAAATTGAACCTTAGACCTGCTACTTGAAAGTTAACAACCTATTCACTTTACTAGGTTTCTATACTCCTTATACAAATTTTGTATAAAATCTATTAAGAGATAAATAAGACTAAATTAAAAATTAAATTAAATAAGAAAATAATAAATAAATTAAAAAGAAATACAAAGTATGCCCAAAACTGTAAAGAAAAGAAACTCAAAATGCTAATTAAAAACTAAGAGATAGTTAGATATGATAAAATTGGTCATCCATTATTGTTTTTTTAATATCAAGATCTATATAACCAGATGCATAATTACATTAAATATAGATTATTTAATTTAAAAAGGTAAAAAGAAGCAATTAAAGTACAGATTATTAAAAATTTGTACAAGAATTTAAATAAGAAATATAATATTTATATGGTAAAAACAATATTTAACAACTATCTCTTATCTCATTAGTCTAATTTAATTGCTGCAAAAGCACATAAACATCTGGCAAAAGTTGCTATTACTAAAGTTTTATATATTAATACTCAAGAACATTTTGATGGAAATTATTGCCTTGCATCTGTTATATATATAAAGCAATTTGCTTCTATGTTCACTGATATATCTGTTATTATTTTTCAAAATAACAAAAAAAAGTAGATCTTAGAATACTAGCAGTAGGTTAAACATTCAGAATTTTACAATCAATCAATAAGCTTGTAGTTATATTAGATTATAATTTTCCTATAGGATATAAACAAAAATTAATGTTTTCTATATATTTAATAATAAAACCAAATAAATTAACTAATAAACTTCAATCAGAACAGCTTGCAAACTTCATATATCCTAATGGTCTATTAATACATTTTCTTTTGCACATATGCAGAATTTAAAAAGCTTTATATATATTTTTTTTTTGAAATACTAAAGTAGAAACTTTATTAAGTAATAGAAGAATTACATTAAAGATTTCTAAACTACATTTGTGCTACTTATTTAAAATACCCAATGTAACATTACACATCTATTTCTATATAACACTATTATTAATTATTTAAATTAATTTTAAGTATAGAAAGGTTAAAGAAAACCTAAAGTAATAGTCTTAGCATTTAGTAAATATAGTTAGTAAGTGAATAGTCTAAGAATAGCCAGTTTTTAATAAACATAGTAGGGTTAATAGTTGATGTATTTGAGGTATTAGATGTTGATTAAAAGGTAGAAATTAAAGAGTAAATTTTTGAAAATTTGGATTTGTTAGTTATATTGCAAGCTTTTTTTTATTATTGTTGAAGAATATTATATGATAGCCATATTTATTGATAAAACCAATTAAGAAAAGCATTGGATAAAGTTGTAAGAAAGGGTAATGTTATTTTATAAAAGAATATTTTAATATTATCATATAGAAATATAGGGTAGAAACTTTGAATAAGATTTATAAAGTAAAAATATGATAATGTATTAAGATAGTAAAATAATATAGTATGAATAGTATTTGTAATTTTAGCAGAAATATTTAGTTGTTGGATAATATTTGTAATTAAACTATGAAGAATTTGTTAAAGATTGAATTTTTGTTTAGAGCAAGTTAATAGATGAGGTATATCTTTAGTTAATTAACAATGAACACAATTTGGAGTATTGGTCATCTTATTAAACATGATATACCAACTTGATACATTTGAATTAAAATATAATTATACAAACTTTTACATATTAACTTGCAATTAAATAAATATATTAAATATTTGAAGATATATAAAATATATTTATAAAAAAAAATCAAATAATTTTTGATTACATATTGTTTGAAAAAATCTCAGTTAGTTAATTTGTTAAAAAAAAATTTAAAATTTTAAAATTTTTTGATATATTTCTAAATTAACCAATCATAATTGAGTATTTTTTTGTGCTACTACGCAAGTACCTTGGTGCAACCTTTATGCATAAACCTGCAAAATTTCAACTATGATTATTATATAAAAAAAAGTTATAATAAAAAGAAAATTACTTATTTAAATTAGTTTATTATATAAAAAATTAGTAATTTTATATAGTA